ACTTTTTGTGTGTTCTGTTCAGGGATGGTCAATACCGAATAGTTCACTATTTCGAATACATTCGAAATTATTATTTTCGAATATGAAATTTCGAATACTTCGAAAATAAAATCCAGTAATAGAATCTAAGTGTATGAAGGAATTTCCATACAATAAACAATGGAATAACTTCTATCTACAACCTGGCTATATTACCAGGCATTTCATGTTTGCAGATAATTGCGATATATATTTTATATAACATGAGTTGTGTTAATTAACAGAATTAAAATAATACGACAAGGCATTTTAAATAGTGGTATCGGTGATGGATTTGAATATTTGCGCAACACAAAATCATCCTAGTAAAACGCCCATACTTTTAAATACCAACCATTATCCAAATTATTTGTCAAAAAGCGGGATAAAGTATGAGTTCTTTTTCAGACTTGTGACAATTTTTTCGTGAGTACAAAAATACGAATCAAAAAGTAATTATATTCGGGAACTTTACCACACATTTTAAGTCCGCAGATCGCCGTTGTATGTTTGTGTAATAATACTTTTATTATTTTATAAATACGAAAATAGGGTTCAAAAACTATTTATAATCGGGTAGTTTACCACACATTCAATGTCCACAGATCACCGTTGTATTTTGTAAATACAAATCAAAAATTAATATCAATCGCGAGTTTGCCTCACAATTTATGTCCACAGAATGCCGTGATATTGTGCCCGAATATAATTAATTTTTGATTCTTATTTTCGTACTCACGAAAAAATTGTCACAAGTCGGAAAAATAATTTATACTTTATTACACATTCAAGTCCACAAATCGCCGTTGTATTTTTGAGTTATAATAGTTTTAATATTTTGTAAATACGAATCCGAAATTAATTATAATTGGGCAGTTTACCACACATTTCATGCCCACAAATACCCGTGGTATTTGGTATTAATACTTTCATTATCGATACTTTTGACCATCATTATCAAAATTATTTGCCAGAAAGCGGGTGAAAGTATTTTTCTAATAAATCAACTTGTTTCTCAACTTGTGACAATTTATTAGATATCGTATCAATTACGGCTATGAATACCGTATTTTCCGGCTAATAAGTCTACATGGCAAATAGGACGATGTATATTTTTAGCACTCAAAAAAGGGGGTTTTCCATATAGGCCTCCAAGAAGACAGGGAGATAAATTGTTCCCTGTTGTTCAGTTATGCTAATATGCGCTAATAATAATATTTAGAACCAGATCACGTTTGTTTAGTAGAATCATACTCACAGAATTAACTACTTTTAACAATAAAGCGGTAATTTTAAGTTGAAAATCACAATCATTTTGAACAATCTATAATTTTATAGGGTCAGAACCAGATCGTGTTTGTTTGGTAGAACCATACTCACGGAATTAACTATTCTCAACAATGAAGCGGTAAATTTAAACGAAACACCATGTTTACGGCGAAAAGTGACTACTATTCGTAATTATTCGGAAATGAGCCGAAAAGGTATTCGAATACTTTGATATTCGAATAATTTCGAATATTCGATTCGTTTTGGACAACCCTGGTTCTGTTACTTCAATGTTTTGTAACTGAACATTCCTTTCGTGTGTATGTATTTCCTCAGCAACTGCTGTTTGTGGTAAGCTCTTTCTTTTTAGACAATTTGTAACGAAGTGTTCGGTGCTATCACATGCACGGCAAGTTTGCTTTTCTCCATCATATTTGACAAAAATTTGCCTGCCATCGATTTCTACATAACTTGGTAGATCAAACATATTCGTATACTTGATTTCTACCATAATATTCCAGTTCCCTGCACGAAGAGAAGGAGTTTCCTGATCTTTTACCTCCCAGATTTTCAGAATACCCTCTGGATTGATGTTGGTAAGTGCTATAATAATATTTTTTATATCTGGTTCTCTGTATATGCCGGGTACCCCACGTAGAATAACTTTTGAAGAATTTGACAAAAGAAGTCTTCCTTGAACGTTTTTCATTCCTCCTGACATAATGTACGAATCTAATTTCAAAATATCTCCTCTACACTTTGCAGTTACTTCAAATACATTCGACCTTCTTTCCACAAGTGCCTCCAATTCTTCCAATTTCAAGCATTGTAAAATTGCATGCTTCACTACTTTTCGATTATCAATATCATATGGTTTACCAAATCCCGCAACATACTTTATTTCCATGCAACATGGTCTTTCTTTTTTATTTAATGTTGTTGAGAATATTCTCTTTCTTGATTTCGCAAAATTCAATCCTATAGGCGTTACTGCAGCGTAATTCCCAGCCGGGAACTTGTTCGCACCTCCGCTCGCCATCGTCATCAATATCTTCTCGTATCTGCGCCCGGGACTTCAGTCAAAGTCAGAACCCTCATCAGGTTTGGTAGACCTCGCGCGCACTTAACAGTTTAACTTAACACTTAGCGGTTTTTGTGGAATCGCTATTTCAAATACGATAATTTTTTGAAATTTTGAAGATAATCCACGAGAGGACGTAACTTGGTTTTTGGTATTTTATACTTTCCGCAACTTATTCCAAGTTTAATGATCGTACAGTATATATGTATGTCCAAGAGAAAAAAATGTTTGATAAATAATCTAGTAAATTTAGTTGAAATATCAAACGGTTTTTAAATATGTTACGTCTGCATTGTTTATAAAATTTTGAATACACGCTATGTTTGGTATTATATATGGCCAAGTCAAAACGTGCTGCTACTGTTCTGACATAATGAAATTAAATCTATAAGGTACCTGCTTTTCTTCGAATGTGTCGTAGTGCTGCCTTTATTGGCCATTTTTGAGAAATCGCCCTTTCAAACACGATATTTTTCAAAAATTCCGGAAAAAATCCACAAGAGGGCGTAAAATCTTTTTTTGTTATTTTAAGATTTGCCCACTTATTCCAAGTTTAATGAACGTACGGTTTTGATGTATGACCAAGAAAAAAAAGGTATTTGATGAATTATCCAGTAAATTCAGTTGAAATACCAAACCGTTTCTAAATATGTTTATATCTACATAGTTAATAAAATTGAAAATTATACGCTATGTTTGGTATTATATATGGCCAAGTCAAAACGTGCTGCTACTGTTCTGACATAAAATAAATCGTATCTATAAGGTATGTGCTTTTCTCCAAATATGTTGTAGTGCTGCCTTCATTGGCGGTTTTTGGGAAATCGCTATTTCGAAAACGATAATTTTTCGAAAATTTGAAAATAACCAACGAGAGGGCTTAAAATGATTTTTTGTTATTTCATACTTTTCGCAACTCATTCCAAGTTTAATGGACGTACGGTATATATGTATGTCCGAGAAAAAAAGTTGTTTGATAAATTATCTGGTAAATTTAGTTGGAATACCAAACCGTTTTTAAATATGTTACATCTACAATGGTAATAAAATTGAAAATTATACGCTATGTTTGGTATTATATATGGCCAAGTCAAAACGTGCTGTTACTGTTCTGACATATGAAAATCGAATTTATAAGGTATCTGCTTTTCTCCGAATGTGTCGTAGTGCTGCCTTTATTGGCGATTTTTGTGAAATCGCTATTTCAAATACGATAATTTCTTGAAATTTTGAAGATAATCCACTAGAGGACGTAACTTGGTTTTTGGTATTTCATACTTTCGCAACTTATTCCAAGTTTAATGATCGTACAGTATACATGTATGTCCAAGAGAAAAAAATGTTCAATAAATCATCTAGTAAATTTAGTTTAAATATCAAACGGTTTTCAAATATGTTACGTCTGCATTGTTTATAAAATTTTGAATACACGCTATGTTTGGTTATTATATATGGCCAAGTCAAAACGTGCTGCTACTGTTCTGACATAATAAAATTAAATCTATAAGGTACCTGCTTTTCTCCGAATGTGTCGTAGTGCTGCCTTTATTGGCGGTTTTTGAGAAATCGCCTTTTCAAAAACGATATTTTTTTTAAAAATTCCGGAAAAAATCCACAAGAGGGCGTAAAATCATTTTTTGTTATTTTAAGATTTGCCCACTTATTCCAAATTTAATGAAGGTACAGTTTTGATGTATGACCAAGAGAAAAAAGTATTTGATGAATTATCCAGTAAATTCAGTTGAAATACCAAACCGTTTTTAAATATGTTATATCTACATAGTTAATAAAATTGAAAATTATACGCTATTTTTGGTATTATATATGGCCAAGTCAAAACGTGCTGCTACTGTTCTGACATATTAAAATCAAATCTATATGGAATTTGCTTTTCCCCGAATGTGTCGTGGTGCTGCCTTTATTGGCGGTTTTCGAGAAATCGACGTTTTAAAAATGATAATTTTTCGAAACTTCGTATCTGCGAAATACCTGAAAATTCATTTTTCGCTCAGTTGGTCTTTTCTTAAACACTATATTTTTTGTCAAATTCATTGTATTAAGTCAGTTTGAAGATTTTTCGTGTATTTCCGTGCTAAAATTATATTTTGATCAACTTTTTCAATTTTTATATGTAACTATAAGTGAACACTATTTACGCGTAGAACCTATATTCAATGTGTAAAAATATTCTGGCTGAAAGTGATGCTAGCTTTACAGTGGTGTCGCGGCGGCCATCTTGGTACGCGCGATTTTCTGCTTGAAGATGCAGTGAGTAGGTTGGATTTGCGGGTCTGGTATAGTTTAGTACCGCATGCACTTTTAGTTGGCCTGGCTCAACAATTTTTGCATATGTCAATCCTAACCCTCACCTGATTACGTCACCCAAAAATTACGTCATTTCGACGTCACAGTGGCGTAATAATGCCCACCAAAGTATGCGAATGGTAGTCCAAAACGCGCAGACGAGCACCTGAAATCGAGAAAGCTATCTCTCTTGTTTACTCGTCACAACGATCACGATAGGAGAGAGTTCGCCGGCTTTAGCGAGTTCGTTATCGGCGGCGCAGATGTCATTTCGGGCGATCGTAATTATACTTTGGCAAGACCTATGACGTGATGGTCGCAGTGACGTAATTTTTGGATGGCATAATCAGGTGGAGGTTAGGAATAACATATGCAAAATTCGTTATGCTACGCCCACTGGAAGTACCTGTGGTACTAAACTATACTAGACCCGGTTTGCTGTGTCAGTGGTGCAAAATGTAAGATATTTTGAGGAAATTCGTCGTGCTGCGCGTTGCAGTTTTCACGCTATTGTTGGCGGTTTAGCCATTAACTTGGAAACGGATAACACAAAACGTGTATGCACATGAGTTGAGGAATCAAGTTTTGAAAGTCTGGTGGGTACGGTGCCGTACCGGTAGAATTCATATATATTATTCGGCATAGATACCGGTAGTAATACCATGACACCTAATATACGGAAGCATTTTCTGTAAATTAAGTCGGCTGAAATGCACGGTTTTGTCAGATTGCTGACATACGGTACCGGTACAGGTACCGTATTATTCGCTACCGTACCGTAACTAGGTTGTGCTTGATTCTGATGTGTTTATACATAATGCAATGGCAGTCTAGGTCTGAATCAACGAACAAGCTCAAATTGGAATCTGTTGAATAGACATTATTTGTTATGACTAATTTTGCTTTTCATTTAAAAATAAATTTTACCAGAGGAACAACATTCACCCTTGTATACCAGTAGGGCCTAAGTCATCTAGCAAGCAATCTGAACCTAGTAAGCCATTTCCCTCCAAATTTGAATTATTAGATGGTTCTTGTTGTGTAGTAATCGCTCTTCTGTTTATCAAGCCTACAGTATCAAATGATTCGACATTTTCAGAGGAAAGGATTGTTATTGTCGCTAGAAGGCTATTACTTTTACTTGAACAGAGAAAATACGACAAAGACTTATCCCAATTTAGGCTTTCCGTATCAAAATATGTTGATAACAAAAATTCAGTTTTGACATAGTCATGATTATATCGCATAAAAACAAGTAGTTGTGAGCATAACGCCACTGCTTTAAAAATCATTATCCCTTTAGTCTCTGCTTACATATGTGGACATGGGTTTTCTATACATGTTCAAATTAATACGAAAACAAGGAACAAACTTGGTGTGCAAGATCACATCAGATAAATAAGTACATGTACGCTATTTTTGTTGAGTGGCAGTGGCAACTAATTTAAATGTCGTCTGAATAGCACTATGCTATGTTATTCGAATGTTTTTTTTCCCGGTTTGAAAATTTTGCGGGTTCGCAGATACTTCAGAGCAGCATAGGCCCCCAGCGGATAGAGGTTGAGAACCACTGGTTTAGTCATCTTGCACTTTGAAGTTTTATCAGTAGCCCATAATATTGCTATATATTACGGCATTATTTTTTACTACCTACTACCTTTTGCATTATGAAGGAAAAAATCTCAAACACCTATATCGTTTTACATTTCAGTTCACCACTTCACGCAAGACCCAAGCTTGTCGTACTTCACCGTTGAAGCTGATATTCCAAATGAAGTTGAGACTTGTGAACAGAAATATATTTCCCCTATCATCCAGGACCATTCTTACAGCTGCGGTAAGTCTTCAAGGTTTTTTGAAAGATTGGAAATAAAAACAGAAGAACTGGAGACTGTCGGGAAAAAGCTGAAAGTCCCCAAGCAAAAGTCAGAGCGACTGTAAATAATACTTCAAAACAACAGTGTTATAAAATCAATACAAGAAAAAAATTTAATCACCACTAGAAGTAAAGAACTTCTAGGCTGCAGTCCTGCGATTTTTAAGCGAATCCTTGATGGGCCCACCCACATAAAAATAGCTTCCTGAATTGAAAGCATTTGCCCTTAATTTTAACTTTTATTCTGCTAATTCCTACCTATTTGTAAGGCATACATTTAATCCAGCTTATATCCTCCCATGTCAAATTTGGCACTTGAATTCCGAAATTTCAGCAGAGCCTGGGTTTACTTAGCTTAGTATGCCATATTCGCTTATTTCTCCTTTTACACGTACCTATAAATTTCAATTTTGCATATTTTTAGTATGCCATATTCGCTTATTTCTCTTTTTACACGTACCTATAAATTTCAATTTGCATATTTTTAGTATGCCATCTTTGCTTATTTCTCTTTTTACACGTCCCTATGAATTTCAACTTTGCATATTTTTAGTATGCCATATTCGCTTATTTCTCTTTTTACATGTCCCCATGAAAATTTCAATTTTGCATATTTTTAGTATGCCATCTTTGCTTATTTCTCTTTTTACACGTCCCTATAAATTTCAATTTCGCATATTTTTAGTATGCCATATTTGCTTCTTTCTCTTTTTACACGTCCCTATAAATTTCTATTTCAGCTGTTACGCTGCACAACTGGCAGCATGACAAAAATAGACCTTTAAACCAAAAATCAATCAAGTTCGATATCTTACGTATTACAAAATTGAATATTCTATTCAATTCTGTTTTTGCTAGATTTCACTATTAAACAGGACCTTAATTTAGAATATTCCGTATTATTGAATTTAAAACATCGGTCGAATTTGGCGGTTCAAGATTCTATAATACTCTCCTGATTGATTCACTAGGACAGTACTTTAGATTTATGGTTTTCAGACTTAAAATTGTCTACTCTAAGAAAACCCGGTGTATCTCAAATAGAACGAGAGCTTGCAAACTTTTTTTAAGTTCTAATTGCATTACAAATTTTACAAAAAATAAACAATGCAGAAATAAAATGAATGTGCTTGTGCTGAAACTAGTAGAAAAGCTGGTTAATTGAAGAAACTGGAGACACTTCAGGAGTAGGCAACAAATGACTTGATTCACTTCACACTTTCACCTAGTAGGTAAAATCTTAAAGTTGGAGGCAAAATGGCTTACTGGTATTTTGCTTTCACATGGATGAATGTTGTATTTCTGGTAACGGTTATTCAACAGTTTCCAATTTGGGCTCATTCAAACCTAGACTGACATGGCATTAGGTATCAGGGTGGTCCAAGATTGGCAGCTCCGCGGGCCAAAAAATTACTTTTGCATTGTTCGCGGGCCACAATGGTGCCAAGGACTTTGATCGTTTAACTTTGCTGGTTGCCTCAGCAAGCTGACATTAGTGATGCAACAATATGTTAAAAGATTTTTTGGTTAATTTTATGACGAAAAGAACACGAAATGCGATTTTTTGATTCCTCTCCCAATGCGACGCGGGCCACAGATAAAGGAGTGCCGGACCGCTCGATGTACGAAATTTTGCGTACGTGAGAAAATTCATCGACGATAGTAAACAAACATTCGAACCTCTCTCCTTTATAGCCGTTGAACCGTTACTTATGATAACATGATAACGGCACTCTTTCGCAAGCGTAATAGTCGTTTCGCTGTTTGTTTTCCTAACAAAATGATATTACAGGCAATGGTGTAGCGCAAACAGCTGCCGAGAACGAAGCGGTATATTTGTGAAGTCAACGCAGTTCTTGTTTGTTTATTATTTTGCGGGTAATTATTAGTGCGTGTTTACGCGAGGAAAATGAGCGCTCGGCCGCGGAAATTACTTTTTAGCTTTCATATATTTACAGATATAAAACTAAAATTGTGACGCACAACCCGGGTGCAAAAACACTCGGACAAGCCTATATCATGCTTGAAAAAGGCGCGAAAATGTCTTATTGGTTTTGTTTTGAGTTAAGTCCATAATAAGACGTGTACATAAAGAATGTTAACTCTTACTGACCAATCATATTAGAGCCATATTTATATTTATAATAAGTTTCATCCCGGAATAACAGGGTTCGTGGATCCATATAGTAGTTGTCATGGTATTACAACCATTATCTCTACCGATCACACATAAATTTTACTTGTATTTCACAAGCTAGACCAAATACAGCACCGTACCCACCTGGTTTCCAAAACTTGATTCTTCAACCTCTATGCATACACGTTTTGTGTTATCCTTTTCCAAGTTAATGGCTGAACCAACAACAATAGCGTGAAAATCCATTTCAACGCGCAGAACGATGAATTTCCTCAATTTATCTTACATTCTGCACCATCGAAACGGCAATTCCAACCCACTCACTGCATCCGCAAGCAGAAAGTCGCGCGTACCAAGATGGCCGCCGAGACCTTCAATTCGGCACAAAATCGCAAACGTCTAGCGCTGCCAATGCGCACTCTAGTATATACACCTCAATGCGTATGGTCCGTAAAATACGGTAAGTATTGGGGCAGCAGAGCATGACCGCAATCACATGTTCGGTTAAATTAGCTCACTCCAGCATATTGCACTACAGCACTAACATCGTTCATAGATTTATTTGTTCAGCATTCGATTACAAGCTAAAAGTTCAAAAAAAACTTTAGATTTAAACTTAAACTTTTCACGTTAAGTGACGAATTGGAAAAGAAAAAATAGTTTAGTTCAACCTTGCAGTGACGACTATTTTTGTTTACATTGATTCCTTTGTCGTGAATTCCGTCCGCGTTCGTTCCGTTTTCGGAAAGACGACATCGCCCACGAGTTGTCATGGTTCCATTGGATACGATACGGTACGGTAAGAAAGATTGAATTTCCGTACGGTATCGGTACCCGGGTAGGTAACCGGTACCGGTAGAAATGGTTGTCTGTATAATGGTTAGTTACCGCCACTTACCGGTACCGTATTTGTTTAAACTGCTTGGACTTGCACCAGTCTGCCAGTAACAAATACCGGGGGTACGGTACCTGTACCCACTATCATCGCTGCATTACCGGTATCTCATGCACCTGTATGTTGGACTTACCTCTTGAGACTGTTATTTCAATATTTGATTACAGCAATCTCACAGCTTTGCAGCTTGTTAGGATGCCGGTGCTTAGCAATACTGCAATATTTAACTTCTTGAACTTGCATTACCCGTACCGGTACCGTATAAGCCAAGAAATAATTCAAGTATTTTAACGTTATCTACTACAAGACTAGTCAAGGTTGGAGTGCAGAAGCAGGAAAACAAAGAGGGTGTACGGATTTTTTCGACCACATTATTGTTTCTGTTATGATTTGGTTTTACATTCCAGCATTCGCTTGCATTTTGTTTTTTTGTGTTGTTCTGTTTTATGTCAGAATACCGAAATAATATGATTGATTGTTCAAAATAAATAATACACATATGGATTTATGGTAGAATTGGTTACTTAGGGTTGGGGGCACACCTCACTTAACTGAAAAAATGATCCCTTTGAATACATTCAATATTGTTCTCGTTAATGCTGTAATGTGAATTTTATGCAAGTTTGTAAACAAATAGGCCTGAAAAAATGGAGGCAAAATGTCAACTCTTCTTCTTTATCTCTGCATGATTTTTTTCGAAATATGAAAAATAACTCATGTTCACTAAATACGTACAGAAGATACATGAACTGCAGCTTGCAAAATTGCAGCTGCAATTGCAAATATTGTTCTCGTTAATGTGAATTTTATGCAAATTTGTAAACAAATAGGCCTGAAAAAATGGAGGCAAAATGTCAACTATTCTTCTTTATCTCTGCATGATTTTTTTCGAAATATGAAAAATAACTCATGTTCACTAAATACGTACAGAAGATACATGAACTGCAGCTTGCAAAATTGCAACAACTACAGTAGGGCACACTAACCAAATTCCAAGAATGTCCCTTATTTGGTTCAATAAAACAAACACTCCATGTGTCTCACAAACGGGGGCGTCTGGCACAACGGCAGATGCGTCATATCGCGCCATGCTTGTCTCGATAATAGTAGAAATCAACTGAAAACTTCAGCTTTTACTCCACCATTGGCTGATTAGCCGATGCAGGGGGGATAAACAAGTGATTTGATGATCTGAGAAACTTATATTGCTATGACATTTTTTTCCTCAGTGGTGCAGTGGAAAATGCATTATTACAAAACGATTGTGAAATAAAAAGAAACGATGCATTCAAAGTCGGGGAAGCAGCTGCGATCCAAATTTATTACTCGAAAATTCGCAATTTGCATAGCCCTGTTCTAACAAATTCTAACCTATCATAAACAGAATCAAAGAAATGGCATCAGAATATTTGTGACAATACCAAGCTTTTTATCAATTTATTCAGAATATTTTTATTCATTCCAGAATTTACCTAACAGATTGTTTCTAATTCTGTAAGTTGTTAAATTTGGCAGATGCTTGGCAACGACCATGCCATTACTGGCAAATTCACTTTAAATACATCATAATGGAATTACCTAATGACATCACAATATGGACATGCTCTCAAGTGGAGATCTGGCTGAAAAATGTCGGCTTCGAAAAGTTTGTGGAGTTGGTTTGTAACGAACATGAAGTCGATGGGAACTCGCTGCTGACTTTGACTGAAAATGTAAGTTATGTTTTTCCATGATTTCTCTGCAGCTGATGGGTCAATCGATTTCGATTTTTTAGGATCTTTTTTGAGTAGTATGTGAACCAAAATGGCGGACACGGAACGAAGTATGTGTACCAGTTTAGGGTTAGGCTATAATTTCAGGCACAAATACTATGGGAGTCGTTTGGCTAGTCCTCGAACTTGTAATAGAACTAAAATAAGGAAAACTTGAATAAAAATAAGGCCTAACTCTAACCTGGTATACATATTACGTTCCGGTTAGGCCAAATTTTTCTGGTTGATATAATTCTTGGGCACACCTTCATATGACATGTTGGTCATATTAGCTGTTTGACCTTCATTTCAAATATTTGAGTATTGCTATCTTGAGAATATGATACTTGAAGTTATGATTGGGGTTGCTGTTGTGGAATGAATGCTTTCTATGCAAACAACAGTACAAATGATTTCAAATTTGCAGTAGGCTTATTCCGGGATGTAGAAGCCGTTAAAACTTGGAGGCTATTAGTTTCTTCAATTTATTTCCATATTTTCTTTAAACCTTACGGGCCTCACAAAATTTTTATTTCAGATTTTGCTGTATTTGTGATTTGCATGCATATCTTCATATGATATTCGATACAATATTTCATATCTTTCACTCCATATAAAGCTTTGTTTAAGCGGCCACTGCCTACCCATATATATCACCCGTATGATGATTTCTGCAGGATTTACGCTCACCACCGCTCCAACTCCGGAAGCTTGGTGATATAAAGAAACTTGGTGCCTGTTTGAAAGAGTTGAGAGTGAAGCATGCGGCTACATTGAGAGAGAAAGCTTGTAAGTATAGCTAGTCTTAGTTTGTCTTACAAAAGTTGAGTTGACTTTTTATGTAAATGTTTGCTTAAATGAAGGTCTCAAGCCTCTAATTAAAACGGAAAGAGTGCTGATAGAAGATTTTGATGAGCTATCACCTATATAGGGTTTTTTATTCAAGTTTACTTAAGAAAACATTGAATAGCCAAACTAAATGAAAGAGAACTGATAGAAAAATCAAAAGCAAAGATGAAGCTATAGTTTTTTGTACCTATCAATAAAATTCTTGAGCCCTCAAATGATGGAGCAATGATTGCATGTAACCACTGTTAAGCTCTATATATTGTTGATTAAAGCAAATCCTGAAGTCCTAGAATTGTAAACGAACATTGATGCGTGGTTTGCTCAGAGCAAGATCCCAAGTCCCAACTAAAATGAGACTGGATGTAATATATATTAAAATATATTGTAAATTAATTAAATTTGATATTGTCAATTCCTGATTTTAAAAATAATTTGAAGTAGTTTTATTCAAAAATATGTTGTTTATAGCATTTGACATTTGATAGGCAGACAAAAAATCAACCAAACTCTAGAAAGAACTAAGGTTACTTAGGATTTTGAAAGTTTGCTGAAAATATCATGACATTTGAATTCTGGCGGTCAGACTTGAAAAGAATCTCCATTCAACTCCTGACTTCACAAAAATGAAAATCAATCAAAGTAATATTTATCTCAACTATTTTCATGAATTTACAATCATTTTTACAAAAAAATTTTTGTTTTGACCTTCTCATAGCAAAAAATAGCAAATTTCTGACTCGCTGAAAGAAAACGTTAATAGGCCTATGGTGTGAATGGCTGAAATTGTGCAACAGGGGGTCATCGTTCTAACTATTGGTTAAATGCTGGCCATCACAGGTCTGATTACCATTCGTGTGTTCATAAGTTCAAATCCTTTTGGGGATAATCATGTGCAAGTAGATTGCTGGACTCTTGAATGCCGTAGCGTGTTTTACATACCCTCTGGTCTGCGAGGGCTTCTTCCGCCATCAGGTCCATGCACCTGGAACCGACGTGGCTAACTAATCTTATACCTGACATGAACTGATAGCTGGAGCAGAGACCCTGGTACGCCATATAATTAAGCCGTCTTTTCCAATTTCCTCCCAATATGCGAACACACATGCTCATTGATTATTTTGTAATTTTCAAGGTCTCCAAAGATTTGATAACTACGACCCACTGTCTGTTAACTCATCAACTTATATGAGGAGGCGAGTTTATCGTCATACTAACGGTTCTGCAAAGATCAGCCAATCATTGTACTCGGATGAGTCGTGCATGAGTGATTCCACAGATATTGATGATCAGGATATCTCACACAGCAGTGGCAGAGTTCGAGTTTTCAATCCAGAGTATGGCAAAACTTTGGTAAGTGTAATAGTATGCAGAGATTTTCTTACAACGCTTGCTGATGCCTTTGCTTATGACAAGGGTCTATTTCATCTGAGCTATTGAAAGGTGATAAATACATTGATATGATAAGGATTTAATTATTATGTCAGGAGATAAAATCTGATAAGGTGACTTTGTCCTAAGAAAAATTTCAATCCAGAACTATGACTTCCTCCAATCTGTGGTTGATGCCCTTCAAAATATTCATTATTTCATGATTTTATATTTATATATTCAGATTAGCTGAGTTGTTTGTTTCAACTTTACTGAATTTTCCCAATTTAAACTAATTGAATATACAATGACTTCTATACGTTCTTAAGATGTAGCCTATATGATATTTAAAAATAAATTCAGGATTATAGATTATTTTTGGCACAGCAGTGTGGCTCATCTATTAAGCGTTAGGAATAGGCTCGCCACCAAACCTCTAATTACTCTGCGAGGGTTCGCAGGTTCAAATCCCATGCAGGGATAGTTATGTGCGAGAGGATTGCTGGACTCCTCGTCGACGTAGGATGGTTCACACCGGTGGCTTCTTCTGCCATCAAGTCTAAGCTTCTGAAAACAAAATTAACTAATCCCATACCAGACATGGAATGGTAACCGGAAAAGAGGCCGTGGTTCGTCATATGGTCAAGCTGTCTTATCGGCTTTCTTCTCCCCTAGGATTAATATGTAAATCCTATTTGGTTTTAGTCATCCCTGGATAAACTCTTGAATGTAAGAAATTTAAAAATTCGAAACTTTATATTCTTAAATTTACAGCATATTTGTTTTATTCGAGTTTTCACTCGAACTTTTTCATCATTTTATTTTTATGTTGTATTTCAGATTAGCTTTCTCTACAATCTCTTAGCAATGTTTGTGACATCATACACAATGGTGGTCGTGCATGATCGAGTACCAGACAAACAGAAGCACCCACCGCTGCCAGATATATTTCTTGATAACGTGCCATTAATTCCTTACGCCTTCAAACTGTCGGAACTCTGCGGCCTAATCTTAATGTCAATGTGGTTTTGCATCCTGTTCTTTCATAAGCATCGGTGAGTGTTTGTTTTTTTAGTATTTAGGATATGATCCTCATATTGGACCTTTTCCAGTTAGCAATACTTATTGGGACCAAAATCTTTTTCAGCAATTAATCCACTTAATTTTCTGATTCACCTATGTAGTTGTCAACATTGTTACATCCAACGAATAGCATATTCTGGCAGTGCCGCCACATTTAATATTTTTCGCTAATGATTTGGTTTCTGCAAGACTTACTGCTTGTTCTATGCTTTTGTGCTTGTGGGTGTAATGCAAGGATGCTGTAGTAAGAGTAAAGATAATTAATATTTTTATTCAGATTCATCTTAATACGTAGAATGTACAGCATCAGTAGTTCAGTATTTCTTCTTCGATGCATAACTATGTTTGTGACATCACTGTCAGTGCCTGGAGATCATCTTCAATGCCAAGCCGGTAATTTTCCTTTTATGGGATTCATTTTTTCACTCAGGATCTACCACAGTAATACAGAAAACCTGAAGGCGTCATAGCAGAGGTCAAAATCATGAATTGATCGTAATTGGAAGTTTTGGTTTTTAAGGGTTAATTAAGGTCAAGATTTTAGACTCAATAAGCATTAAGTAAGCATTCTTGGTAGACAAATAGGCCTTGTTGTAAACATTTGGTTTTTCGTACAGTTCAGCCTTACACGTTTTTCTTCAGGATATATGAAAACCCTGATTAGGTCATCTCATTGGCTTTCCTCTTAATAGAATAAATATGAAAATCATATTCCATGATAAAACTGCCTTTTTCCTTTCCTTTAGAGATAAATATAAAGTTCCTAAAGTGATTCTGTTGAAATGGGAAATCCCCCATCTATCTGCTGGTTCGGGCCCTTTAATTAATATAACATCTCCTATATAATCTTTGATAAGTGGTGTTAGTTAGATATTTAATATGGTACTCTCCGTCAATATCAGTAGTTTCAAAACTCTAGAATTCTAACTTTTTGAATTAGATATTAGAACCTCTGGTGTCGCTGCTCAATAACCAGCTTTGGTTCCTCACGACTTCCCTTCCCCAGTAAAACTGTGTAAATTATCACTTTTTCGTAATTTGTGCTTGTGATATTTTTTTACTGGTTGGAAAAGATAAACTTGACTTTTGTTGTTGCAGCTCACTATCGAACAACAGAACAAAGAATAAAGCGAGCTTTAGAGATATTTGCCGGGGGAGGAATGTCATTGACCGGCGTTCATACCTGCGGAGATTACATGTTCAGTGGGCATACGATAGTACTGACTTTGGTGAATCATTTGATCACTGAATGTGAGTATTTTAATGTGGTTTCTTTGTATGAGACTGTTTTCTGCTACCTAAGAGGTGTCAGGACTTTGAAGTCTGGGAAGCTTTAACTCCTGGTTCGACCTTAGGTTGAAGAAAGTGAATGGTCAATTAATGGCACATATTTAGCCGCTATGCTTTTGAAGTAGCAAAATTATTCTTGTTTGCGATATTACCAACTGAACTCTTTCATTTCAATGATGATATTAAACATCAAAATATTATACAGAAGCTCAAAAGCAATAAATTCACCAAGCGCTCTTATTAACAGCCTGTTTAAAAAGGCCTTCACACTCTTAAAGAAGTGGTTCTCAAACGGTGGGGCGCGCCCCAAAAGGGGGGCATAAACAACTTTTTGAGGGGGCGTGAAGTTAATAGAAAATATTCGTTAGATCTTGCCCGCCTTGTTTTGAATATTTACATTTCAATTAACCCATTAATTAACGTATTTTCAACTTGTTTTTTGAATAAAACATGCTTTTCACCCTACTATCTGCTATTTGTAGCTTATTGTTGGCTAATCATTTTTGAGGGGAAGCTCGAGACTTAACAAATTCTAAAAAGGGGCAACTTGAAAAGTCTGAGAACCACAGCTCTGAAGTATTTGTTATCAAATTTGTATCCAAATTTTGAACTAGTTTTCTCTCATAGTTGGAGCCGATTTAAATTGCTTGCTTGCGTCAATGTTTGATTTATCAAAGTAAACTCTTGATGTTTTGCAGATACCCCAGCAAGATGGTATTCTCTTCACATTGCGTCCTGGGTTTTCAACTTGTTCGGTGCCTTCTTCATTCTGGCTGCTCATGAACATTATTCCATTGATATGTGAGTAGAAAGCTCGCTTTAATGAAAAAGCTCTCGGCATATCAGTATCTAAAAGTGGCATAGCCAGGAATATGCAAAAGGGGGGGAGGGTGGGTGGGTGAGGGGGTTCCAAAGTTTGTAATTCCCAAGTTATACCGGGAAATGTGGGCTTTCAGAAGTTTTGAGGGTTAAAAGAAGTTTTGAACTACGAAAAATTGATATGTATGATTGTTGTTATGCCTAGGATGAGAAAAGTTTTGAAGACTTTCTCATAGATTGCAACTCCCCTGTCAGCACGCTACTGAAGGTAATGCAAATATCTAAAAACTTTCCACTTTTGACACTTCAATATTTGTGCTACAAATTTTGACCTGTTTGAGTTAGCAACAGTATTTGTCCCGCTTATGGCAGCTTTAATCTTTTACCTGTATTTTTTAACATTATTGCTTCCCCAGCGGCCAGTTGAGTCAATCGTTTAGCTTGTGATCTGGTCAATAAATGTTAAATTTATCTTTCTTCCAGTTTTGCTAAGCATTAGGGATATGATTGTCATCGCACCTCCCATTTCCCTGTGCGGGTCCGCCGGCTTGAATCCTGTAATAAGTGTAATAATAAATGCAAGAGGATTGTTGGACTCCTCATTGCCATAGGGTGGTTCATGAAACTGCTGGTTGGTTACGGCTTCCTCCATCAAGTCCATACATCCGAAACAAACAGGTCAATTATTTCCATACCCATCCCGAACTGGTAACCAAATGAGAGGCCTTGGCTCGTCATACGATTCGGCTTGTATTATTGGCCTTCCCTCATAATAAAATATACAAAATCCCATTTACTAAGAAATTGTTGCAAATTATTCACAATATGATATTCGCTATGACGACATCAAAATTATTGCCACTGGGTGGCGCTACGTGTCCATATATTTGAGCATAACTCTCTTGTTTGTTTTGTTTTTGTTTTTTACTGGTTGGAAAAAATAAACTTGACTTGACTTGATTATCGGCTCACATGTAGATTAAGCCATCTTAATAGCATTTCCCTCCCCCGAAAAATTTATATCAATTTGTCCTGTTCTTTATTTCAGTGTAATTGCCTTCTACATAACATCAAGAGTCTTCTTATATTATCATATGTTGGCGAATACCAGAAGCTACCAGCATAGCAAAAGGATTAGGGTGAGTTGTCTCAGTATAGGTCATGTTTAAAACTTTTTACTTTATAATCAAAGTGTTAAAATTCTACTCATGATTTTTGGAAGTGTGTGCTACAGTGTTCACTCTAAGGAAATTATGAGTGCGGAGGTGCCTCCCAATTCCAAAAAAAAGTGCGATGGTGCCCTGGCCGATTTTAACAAGTTAGGTGCGCTAACTTTCATTTCAACTCTTTTGAATATGGTTGTGCCCGATAGAAAAAGGGCCTAATAGAGCTGTCAAATATGGCAACAAGTAACAATATGGCATTATCTATTGGAACCTTTTTGAAAAACCGCCTTATTGCCACATTTCGATGCCACCGTTGTCAAATTTTATTAATACCGTTCTTGCTTATTTGGACAGTTATATAAAATTAGCCAATTCAGTTTTTAATTAGTAAACAAATAGTTCGCAGGGCCTCCAGGTTTCTCTCACAGAGCCCAGGGCACTTTAAGAGCCTATGCAGTAGAGACAACCGCTAACTCAAAGCCTTTGAACCTGAGTATGGATTTAGAGTATGTTTACTGATAGCCTATTGAAGTCATATTTTAAAAAACCCCAAGTCTGGTTTTCCTCGACATTCGGGCCACAGTTGTACTAACACACTCCCTGGAGCCAAAATTCTGAATTTGCTGGAATTTCACACTTTTCATAGCGATAATCGTAGTCAAATTTTCATACAAAAACTCAAGCACCAGTTGTTGTATGTTGATAGGTATTTGTCTGTCTTTGTGTTTGTCTGTCTGTTAGATGCACGCGATATCTCACGAAGGCTAGGTTGAATCTGCTTTTGCATGTGCATTCATCATAGCTCGGACCAGAAGCATATTGATTTTGGATGAATTATGTCGTATAATTAGCGAGTTATTAATTAATTAGTTATGGGACACAAGGTGTCACTATGGAGTAGGAGCGCTGTTATGAGGATCCCCTAACTTTCGATCGATAAGTCTTCGGTCTCTGACCGATATTTTCGTTTATGCGTTATCAATAGGCTTTTAATAACAACAAAGACTTGCATACGGCATACTTTTTGTGGTCTTATCGGACACAGGAGCTGGAATGAGTGAATTACATTCTGTAGGATTTCATTGGTGGTAATTAATCAATAGTTGATGCCAAGACTGCGATATCAGACATTGTGTTTTTATTGATATTGAATTCGGTTCGGAGTCCTATTTTCAAACTCTTGGGGAGTCAAAAAAATTATTTCAAATTTCCTTGTGGAGGTCGAATTACAATGACCAGGATTGCTGGTCATTCGTTGGTCTCATGTCTCATTAAACACGGTAAATTCTGCTAGAAATCTCTAATAAATGATGTTAGTTGAGTAATTTGCACAATTCATATGGCACTCGCCATTAAAAACAGTAATTTTGAAACTCTAAAATTCTCTATCTTTTAAAAAAGACATTAGAACCTTGGGTGTCACTGCTCGATAACAAGCTTTGGTTCCCCAGTAAAACTGTAAACTTTCTCATCTTTCTTTCCATCACTTTCTCGTAAATTGTGTACGATTTCTTTTACTCGTTGGGAAAAATAAACTTGATTTGACTTATGCTTACGGGTATATCTCTCTTAATAAACTAATCAACTTCCTCTATTTTTTATGCAACCACTAATTTTTTTCATATATTTTTACAGATTTGGTTTCCTCTATTTTCCTACTTCGAATGCAATGTTCCAGGCAAAGTACCCAACGAATATGAGTGGCCGCTTTCAGTGCAAAAAATCAGAAATTTATTTGTGAAAATTGCAAAACATAGCAAGAATACAAAAGTCTCTCTGAACTAACTTAGAATCGTTGGATCGGTAGTAGCAAATGAGCATTTACAACTGATTCATAGATATATTTACAGGGAGCTTTTAAAGCCTTTACTTTTTTAAATTGCAAGCACATTTATCAATACCATATATAGTTTGTTGATCCCTGCGGGGGGGGAGGAATAAAACACTAAAAAAAAAATCTGGCTAGAATATTGAGAACTGACTTGATAACAACATAGATATTGTAACAGGACTTTATGAACACCCTGAATATCAAAGCGATGCGGTTGGTCGTACATTTGCCATTTTTAGATTAAAATGATCTTTCTTATGGACGTATCACGTATGCTTCAAATTCATGTACAAGTTAAGTCTAAGTATGCTCAGTATTCCAAAGCTATGTGAATACCTTCAGAGCCAGTGCAGTAAACTCTTGACCTTGGAAGTAACTTAAAATATTTTTATTTGAAATTTTGTTCTTTTGAGTGTTCAAAAACTGGTGGTCGAACAAAAAACAGACTTTGTTTCTGGTAAATACAGGGGGACTCCCCTCCCTCTTCAAAAAACAGAAATTTTGTCTAACACTCAGAATTTCTATTTGTGTTGAAAAGTTCAAATTACACGATCTTAGCTCAAAGCACCCTTCTAAGTTTTTTTTATTATACGAGGTGTGGCTAAAAAGAAACGAGACTGACGTCACAGATTGCGCAACACGATTAACCATTGGTAATCAACACTTTTACAGTGTGGTGTAATATGTGTTCTTTGTTCAACAGCTTTTTTGACACAATATCGCAATTATTTTTGCTCTTTAGGAGTCGTAGGTGAATGTGATTAATTGCTTGTTGAAAAAAAAATTGCCGTGCGAGATCTGATTGAGTTTTTTGGCGATAGGGGGTTCAATTGCAGAATGACGATTGAGCAATGAATTAACATTAAATTTTGTGTCAAACTTGGAAAAACGGCGACTGCGACTTTGAAGAAATTGTGTGATGTTTATGGAGATTCTTCCATGTCCAGAACAAGAGTTTTTGAATGGCACAAGCGATTTGTGGGATGCAGGGAGGATGTGGAGGATGATTCGAAGTCAGGAAGGCCTTGCACTTCCACAACTGATACCAACATCGAAAAGGTATCAGTTGTGAGTTCAGTTGTGAAAGGCAGTTGATTCGCAGCGACCGTCGCTCAACAATTCGCGTCATTGCGAAGTTGGAAAAGACAAAAAAAAACGGTTCGCACCAGTTTGGTTGACACTTTTGGCTTGTGAAAGGTGAGTGCCAAAATGGTGCCAAGGCTGTTGACTGAGGAGCAGAAAGCTCAACGATTAAATGTTGCCCAGTTGACATGCATTTTTCCAAGTTTGACACAAAATTTAATGTTAATTCATTGCTCAATCGTCATTCTGCAATTGAACCCCCTATCGCCAAAAAACTCAATCAGATCTCGCACGGCAATTTTTTTTTCAACAAGCAATTAATCACATTCACCTATGGCTCCTAAAGAGCAAAAATAATTGCGATATTGTGTCAAAAAAGCTGTTGAACAAAGAACACATATTACACCACACTGTAAAAGTGTTGATTACCAATGGTTAATCGTGTTGCGCAATCTGTGACGTCAGTCTCGTTTCTTTTTAGCCACACCTCGTAAGAGCTGAATTGCACCTTCTTAAACTCTAGCTAGTTCTTTCACATTCACTTTATTGATTCCTGACCAGTCTATGATTACAGAACAATTAACTGGTTAACTATTCTGATACCAGATATGCTACTGGTAATCGGACAAGAGGACCTGGTTTGCCATTTGATTAAAACGTCTTACCGAGAATTTCCTCTCCCTTAAGATAAATATCGAAATCATGTCCTTTGATATCAGAAATTGTTGCAATTTTTTTCAGTCTATATTATGCTTGTGTGTTTCACCACTATGATTAGCAGTATTCACTCCTTAATTTTTATTGTTGCTAGTCCTTGTTTCCGGTAAATTATTTCCATATCCAACTTGGACTGGTAACCGGACGAGGTGCCAGGGTTCACCAAATGATCGAACTGTCTTATTGGACTGGTAACCAGCGGAGAGGGTGTTTTTTTTCACCACTAATTCATTCGTCTGATTTTTTTTCACTCTCCTGAGATAAGCATGAATAATTCTATTTTATTGTTGCAATTTATTTTATGCCCATAAAATGCTGTTGATTATTTTGTCACTATGAATTAACATTATCTTATTGCACTGTTTTATTTTTTATTGTTCGCTGATGCATGACTGGTCAGAATACTTTAATTCTAATAACTAAAGGCTGTTGCTGCAATTATGCGGTTATCGGATTTTGTTCAGACCTTTTCTAGCTATACTATTAGCATTATTTTTTGCGCTGGTTTTTGCAACATTCTATTGAATTTCATGTTTACTAGAAGTTCAACGTTCAAAAAATCCGAGTGCCTAGAAATATTCAATGGTTCAGGAATACTGAGACTGTTATAACAGCTTACTCCAATATTATCTTAATGCCTGGTTTCCTATATGATTAACTACTTATCCTTCTATTATTTCTTTGTGCTAGTGAATCCAAATGCATTTAGGGTGTTGTAGCAAGTATAAAGATAACTATTCTAAGCCAGGGTTTCCCAAACTTTTCGGGCTGCGGACCCCTGCTCTTGGATATCATTTTTAGGGACCCCCATCCTATGCCAATTTATGTGCCTAACCATCGAGGAAGAATAATGTTTCATTTGGACACAACAACACAAACGACATTAATGTGACAAGCAAACTTGTAGGCCAGACTCTACGACAACGTTTTTATATAGTTTTAAATATTATATTTTGACGAAATAAAACGTTAAATATTGGCTGGCTAACCACAGTTCGATGTTATTATTTTCACTCTCATATGTGTACTGTTGGTAGTAATTGAACATGTGAAACTAAATTAATTGTGTATGCTTGGATAGTATCACATGATTAATAGCCTTTTTCACGGCTCTTTCTTGTAGCAATAGGGCACAAATGACCTTGGCAAAGTCGCACATGTTATCCTCAGGTGATAACTCAATAACGCATACAATCAGTTATTACCGTCGATGTAGCTCTGTGAGGGGGGTCTACCTCCTACGCTGAAAGCAACGATTGTCTACATTTACAGCAACTTTTTCACTCTCACTGGTAAGGTTATGTAACAATTACCATTTGCGATTGTGTTAACTCACGACTTTATTTTGTTTATGAATGACTATGTAACAGTGGATATACGTTAAGTGTATATATCTCAGACTCCTAATATCGCTGCGGACCCCTTTGTAGTCGTCACGGACCATAGTTTGGGAAACCCTGTTCTAAGCTATTCAAGGATGTTGCTGCACTTTCGTTTGCGTTAGTGTTTAGCAAGGCTCTTGGATTACTCTACTTATTTTCTATAATTTTATCATGCAATTGTCACTTAGTCAGTCTGTAGTTTTTATTTATCAAAACCTGTATGATTGCACTATTGTTTTTATTAGTTTTAATTTCACTCTTATATTAGGCTGTCTTATCACTTTACTCTCGCTCAAGATAAATGAAGCGAACTTTGTTCGCCAGCATATTCACATCTCATTATTGAACTATTTCTTATGCTTGTTACAGCCTCGCAATCAAGTTCATGCATCTGAAACAAATAACTGGGTAACTGGACATTTAACCGGCGGCGAGGCTGTAGTACGTCATTTGACCGAGCCGTCTTTTGGGCTTCTTCTCCCTTATAGTTATGAAAAAATCTTTCGTCATAGAATTGTATATTACAGCTTTCCAGCACATGATTTCTAAACACCAGGCTATAAATCAGTATTACGTTGGTGCATCTGAAACAAATAATTGTCTAACTAATCCCACAAAGGTTTTGGTTCACCATATTACTAAGCTGTTTTATTAACTTCTATTTACCCGAACTTTTGTCTGTTATTTGCAAATTTTCTCCACTCCCACCCCCATCTTTCTTAACAAGAGCAATAATTTCAAATGTAACAAAGTTATATATCCACAGCAATTGTATACATCGGTGGGCGCTCCAGAAGTGTGTGTACCAATATGGAGGTAACTTATTTTGTTCGCCTATTTTACATCAAGTTGCGTGAAGGGAATAAAACCTATGGATGGATATTCACTTGGCTAACACAGACAGTCCCTGAACTCATAATAGAACTAAAATGAGGAAAATTGGAATAAAATTATGATGACCTAACCCTAACCTGGTACACATACTACTAGAAGTACCCATCGGTGTTGTAACTTCACTAATGGTGTGCTAGTATTATTCATTTATTTCAAGTTTTTTTGGCAAATATATTTTTGGCAATTGTATGCCCAGGCACTGTATCCTTACATATTATTAGCGCTATTGAGTTGCCTTTAGACAGTTTTTTCCATCTTCCCAACCCGTATCTTCTTGTTTTGGATACTGCTTTATTTTTACTGGTAACCGGACGAGAGGCCGTGGTTTGTTATATGATTAAACCGTAATATGGGCTTTTCCCCCCTGGGATAAATATGTAAATCATATTCTATCCTTTATTTCAGTCAATCCTTCTTAAAAAGCACAATAATTTAAAATGTAACAAAGTTATACGTCCTCTGTAAACGTACAACCTACGTAAATGTGATCTGTATTGGAGCTATATTTTGCAAGCCTGAAAGTGAATGACCAAATATGGCTGTTGTACACATAGCAGATTGCAATGTTTTTTGAATTACAACAAACTTTGTTGCGCAATAGACATTGTTATGCTTTCGCTACAAAGTAACCGTCTAGCCAACCTTACCTATTGTATGCCAGTGTCATGTGCTTGTTTTGACCATTCCTCTACAGAGAATCGCATGAAAATGTTGATTTGGGAACCATATAATCACCTTTTTTCCCCGACTGTTTCAAAGGTATTCACATGAAAAGCACAAAAATTTTGGTACTCCCGAAGTATGTCAACCAGGATGGTGGACATCGGAACGTAGTATGTGTACCAGGTTAGGGTTAGGCCATAATTTCAGGTACAAATACTATGGGAGTCACTTGGCTAGTCCCCTAACTCGTAATAGAACTAAAATAAGCAAAATTGGAATCCAGGTTCCAGTGTCCACCATCTTGGTTCATATACTCCGGGAGTACCAAAATTTTAAAATGTAACTGTTCAATTTCAAACCTGTATATTTTTGGCAATTGTTATCTAGTTATTGTAACCTTATCTACTGTAAGCTAACATCATATATCTCTAACAAGAAGCAAAATAATTTAAAATATGACTATCCTATATACTTTCTACAGATGTATCTTGGCCTGACAACCTTATCTGTCATTATTAGCGCTCTTTTAAGTTTACTCGATTCAGGATATATACGAAAACTTCTTTGAGGCCTTATACCTATCCTTTGCTAGCAGCATATCTTCTTTCCCATTCTCTTCCTAATTTGTTACTTTTGCAACGAAATTTATTGTTTGTTTCAAGTGATTAATTTTATTAATTGAGATTATTCATTTTGTAATATTCATTTTATGTGTTTAATTTTTCTTAACACATTATTGTGCATACTTTTGTTCCGATGTGGCTGTGTCAAACACAAATAGTAACATGCTCTGTATCGGAGTTTTAACTTTTGTCATCACAACATATTTGATGGGCCACATTTTTTCCCAGCCCTCCTGAACATATTGGTGAGACCGATGTGCTTACATATTCTTGCACAAAAGATAGTATTTTGGCTTTATTCCTGTGATTGTAGGTACTAGTTCCAAATCTTTCAAATTTGATCGATATTTTGTTTTGTCGATAAATAAATTTTTGTCGATAAATTTTTCCCACAGAAGGAAAAAGAGTAAGTATGGTTATCTCTAACAATAATGGTACCACGCCCCCATTGTACCACGCCCCCATTGAACCTTTTTGTGTCCACTGGGAGGTCGGGCCTCCAGTTTGACGAGCTCCGCTCCATATTGTATTCTTTTAATCCCAGTCACTAAGGATATAGTGCTTGTATATAAATTCAGTATCTATAACAACTTGCCAAACTGACTGATACCGATGCCAAATCTCAACAGACTCTGGTGTATGTAGTAACTGTGTATATTTATCAAATGTTGCCTATTTTGTGATTCAATCTATGTTAAATTTAATCAAGCCGGAATGATTTATATAGGAATAAAGAGATTATGTAATTCTAATTCTCCACTTTATTACTGTCTTATTCAAGCAACTGGTACATACGGATTCGGTGAGAAGTAGACAAGGGGGAAGTTCTGACATTTAAAACAAGATACCCCCTGTATCAAGAATTTTTAACAAAACTTATCTTACCTAATTATTATCAAGTGAGGAGGGAACATTTATTTCATTTTAGTGCCATGGGAAGTGAGAAATTGAATTAGTTTACAGAACGGTTTCTTCATCAGGGGTGTTCGCTTATAGAATGTGTCGGAACAATTTGTAAAGGGTTCGATGCTCTTAAATCATTAAATATGGGTATGAATTCGATGCCTGGAAAAATTGGGAATCAACAGGTAACGTATTTTTATTTGCATATAAAACCAATGCTATTTCTTAACAATTCCAGAACGGGGTTTCAAAGGGTGCGAAGAGAAAAATGGTTGAGAATCTTTGACTATAGCAAACCACAACTCTACAATTACAGGCATCGATTTCCCTACACCACCATGGGGGTGAATAACCTAGAGCATTGGTTCGCTGGTTCCTAAACTTTTTGATATCGTTACCCCGAAATCGAATAACCGAAAGCTTAATTAACCCCCCTAGTAGTCATAGCGTTATCACTTTTTCTTTGATCAACAATGACGATAATACTAACACCCCCAATTGCATCATCTGATTTTAAGATGCCAAACTTGCACCAGCTCAGCATTTCAGCCAAAAATATATTCGTCAAAGTACTGGTATTATGCGAAGTGCGTGAATAGTCACTTGATGACTAGACTCATTGACTATAGATGCGAGCATCTCATGTTCAGATTTTTAGGGGTTGCAAAAAAAATTGTGAAAACGTCTGAATTACCCCCTGAAATTACCCCATTGAGGATAATTACCTGCAGTTTGGGAACTACTGCCCTATAATGTCAAAGCCCCCCAATAATTTGAGGTGTGACACCAAACTTTAAATTCCTAACTTGAATATAATTGTGTGTCGTATATACTAGAGATGTACCGATACCACTTTTGTCACCGATACCGATCCGATACCAGCTAAAAAATCCGATACCGATACCGATATGCCGATACTACAGAAAGGCCGATATTACCGATATACCGATACTATGTAAATATTACTTAATTAGGTGTGCTGTGTAGGGCAGACGGGTTAAAACAATGGTCTTTGAGCGTTGTTCATAGTACACATTATTTCAGATCGAAAAAAAAAATCACATAATATGAAATTAATGCTTGGTGTTTGCTTTAACTGATTAAGATACACTGTACAGTAACGCTAGTAATCTCGGTGTTCAATTAGAAAACTCATAAGCCGGGATGTTCAATTTGAATTTAATGTTAATATCGCGACCTTCGAATATCGTTATTCGTGTTTAAAAAAATATCGAATATCACCCACACATTCTAGAGCCGCCGTCCTACGTTCAAATTAAAAGCATTTTTCAAATATTTTATTTCGTGGCTAATCGTAATCGTCGACGCAATAAGTCAAAGCCAACATGAAAGAATATCAATCAGCACCGACCAAAAGAAGGCCTACATATAACCGTCGAGGATGTTTTTTTACTTTACTATTTTATATTATTATACAATTGCCATCATATATTTTGAGACAGTCTAGGCCCTCTGGGGCTAGGCGGTCATGTCAATATATCTATAAAGAAATTGTGTAGTTAAACAAAATTAATATCTGCGTAGAGGGATAATTGTGTCGGAATTTAGTTTATCGATGTCGTCGGACTAAATGACACTCGTTCTTGACGACAAACAGTCAGAATTTATACCCGTGCCAAAAGTCCATGTGCCGTTAATAAGGACCCCAATTCCACTGTATGATTTAAAACTGGGCGCCTAATTGCTTTTTGTAATGTGCCGTGTTGATATATTTCTTTATAATTACTATGTAATATAAAGCATGTCAATATAAAAATTTGACAGCGAAAATAGCTAAAAATACGTGAATCCTATTCTCTCGCGGGGGTAGGGACATGTATGGCTCATAGATCACGATCTCTTCAGACAAAAAATAAATTAAAAAGTAGTATTCCAACTTATCTTTTAATACATTCTGGACCATATCAAAAAGGTAAATATATCGGAAATATCGGCCTTAATCTAACCGATACCGATACATGGCCGATACCGAAAAAATGGCCGATATTGCCGATACCGATACCGATACCGATACATCGGTACATCTCTAGTATATACCAGTACAGATTCTCAGTCAAATGCATAACACATTTCAGGGGTTACAAAATAGTTGTATTGTTAATAGCAAAATATTTACCATCCCCATGTCGGAAGTCGGAACCTCACTCAAATTAAGATCAATCATGCTATTTTCCGTTATTCAGAAGGGATGAGTGGACATCATTTGCTCTACTAATTCCATTAAGTTATCAGTGACTGGAATGACTGTCATCAACAAACCACCAGTGAGACTAACTTTTATCTCGATCGGTATTGATAGGTATTTGTCTGTTAACACTTTCGTATGTTACACGATAACTCACGGCAGCGAGATTGAATCTGCTTCAAATTCTGTATGTGCATTCATCACATCTCGGACCAGACGTCTATTGATTTTGGTTGAATTATGTCGTATGAATAATTAGCGAGGTATTATTAATTAATTAGTGATAAGACACGCGGTGTCGCTGTTGAGTCCGACCGATCTGTTTTGGGGGATCCCCTAACTTTCGTCACTGCGAACGATTGTGTGCGTAACAATGCTGCTGCGATGTGGAGTCTATGTATTTTGGTTACACGCGGATTAATAAGTCGGCGATCTCCGATCGCTATCTAGTTTCAATTTTAGGGCTAACGAAAATCATCTATCGAAGACTCTACTAAATGAGTAAATTCATCTAAACCGAATGAATCGGAATCAAACTAAACGACAAAATTTAGGTCAGTTTTTTTGGGAGTTTGAAGACTTCTTCACCACACTGTCATCAAATCCTACTCAGGAGAGAGGTAATACCCATTATTACATAACACACACTGCTTTATTACGTCATACGTGAAAAGATTTTCAATAGATTGCAAAGCTAATAAATGAAGGGAATGAAATTCTAATACAAGAAAATAATATTCAATCAAAAATAAGTTCGCAAAATTTAAAACGCGGGAGGAGAATCTTTTAGGGAAGACCATCTTGATTACCCATATTCATTTTTCAAAGATGGGGGTGTAAAGTAATAGGATAGATATAAAAAGAAACAAACTGTTGCATCACAACATTATAAGAATCCTTTATGAATCACAATAATGAGAATTTAAAATCCAGTGAAATATAATCAAACTTTACCATGCTAGATTGAACATAAATAAAGCATCATGTGCAGTATCTACGGAACAAACTTGGCCATAGATGTTGATTATATCCCACTGTGAGCAGTGCGGGCAGGAGGAACGCGTAAAATTTTTACTCCTCGAAATGTTTGTTGAACAGGAATTCACCCAGGCCTTCTCCGACACGTTTAAGGTTGGTGATGTAGCCCTTCAGCTTGTGGATCGCGTCAACTTGCTCGTGGAGGAAGTTCGCTTCAATAAAGTCTTGGAACTGTAGAAGGAAAGCTTTAGATTATGAGCAGTGGTTCTCAAACGGCGACAATGTTTTGACAGGACGAGAAGCTAATTTAAACTTTGGATAAATATGTTCCATCAACGTATTTTTAATGTTTTTTCTAAACATGTTTCGTCGTACTATCTTCCTTATCTGTGGCTTACTGCTAGCTAGTTAATTTTTAATTGGGGCGCAAGACAATGTCTAAGAAGGGGGCGCGCGGCCCAAAAAGTTTGAAAACCAATCAATTAGAGTTTCGCAAACTACGCATAGTATGACAGGGCGAAAAGCTAATTTAAACTTTGGATAAATATGTTCCATAAAAGTGTTCGTCATACTATCTTCCTTATCTGTGGCTTACTGCTAGCTAGTTATTTTTTAAGTCGGGCGCAAGACAATTTCTAAAAAGGGGGCGCGCGGCCCAAAAAGTTTGAAAACCAATTAATTAGAGTTTCGCAAACTACGCCTCAAGGGGATAGATAATATTTGCCACTACTTTTGGCAACATCTTGTAATTTGAATTTTGTAAGACTTAGAATCACTTAATAGGGTTTTGTTTGCTTTTAATTCTATAATCGGTTTTTATTTATTTGTTTTGATCATTTACTTTATTTGCCTGTTATTTTAATTATTATATCCCAATTTGTGATCTTGATTCCAAGCATCGTTTTCAAAAGAGCATTCCCCACTGGTTATTGTAGGTGAGTTACAGACTCAATAGATCTGTCAAATTTTTCAAACTGGTCCCTCCGACCCCCAAATGGGGGCCTCGAAGCACTTCTTAGGGGGCAACAAACTAAGGCTTGCACCGAGCAATATTTGCGGTGTTCGGTGTATTTTACAATCTATGAATCAGAGTTGAAAATTTTAACCCATTACAATTCAAAACAGTTATACCACTCATCCTCTCACTAATTGAGTGAGTGACCTTAATTTAAGACAACTTTATAACTCTGTGGGTGGGAATAGGTCCATGGTCTGTCATTTTCCCTCGTTAGTTCCTTTATATTACTTCTTGCCTATAGCCTAGTTATGAGGGAAACAGAATTTCAACCTACCTCGGGATCGTTCTCAGCAGTGTCATGTAACTTCAGCAGGTTACGGTACACAGTCTCCTCCAGTTCCAAGGCTGCTTGCATCGCCTTGATGATGCTGCAGTTTGTCAGGTTCAGCGGCTGAGGAGCCTTTGGATGAAGGAAAGATTGTTATAGTACAAAAAAACACTAACATGTGGGAGATCACTCAATCTGCAACTAATGGGTCAATCTATTTTGGTACTCTGTACCCGGTTAGGGTTAGTTCATAATTTTATTCCAATTTACCTTATTTTAGGTCTATTTCAAATTCAGGGACTAGCCAAGTGACTCCCGTAGTATTTGTACCTGGAATTATGGCCTAACCCTAACCTGGTACACATACGACGTTTTGGGAGGGTCTGGATATATTTTCTGAACGACATTGCTTACTTAATTTATTACACCCTGTGTGAGGTGTTGGACAGGAGTGACATCTGCAATGTCAGTTAAGATTTTTTAATAATGTAAAAAAACTCAACTAAAATCTATGGGTGTCGCTGCTCGATAACCAGTCTTAGTGTCTCGATCCTACCTTCCCCCTGGAGTACCATTTTCACTTCTTTTTTGTATTGTTTATTCACAATGTGTACTTTAGTATGGTGGAAAAATTAATTACTGAATATTGAGAAAACTTACAGTGATATCACTGAAGACTGTGTTCCCTCCCCGTTTGTTGTGATACTTCATCATTTTTTCAGCATGTTCACGCTCTTCGTGAGACTGTTCTTTGAAATACTCAGATATTTTGTGCAACGCAACATCATTGCGATCAAAGAAGTGACTCTGTGAAAAATATGGTTATGGTTATATTTGTATAATTTACTATCCGAAATTTTCAAATATACAATCTAATTTGGTTCACGTTCATGCAGAAGTCAACCCAGGTCCAGCTGAGTTTCTAGTCTAGTCCATAACTAAGTTCGAATCATACGCTACAGATGATTTGAGTTGCTTTAAGTCTGATAAGTGGCGATCTGAGTAGATCACCAAATCAAGTTTCACTGGTTGTAAGTTCAGAAGTTTAGGTAAAAAGTCAGAGTCATTTAGATAAGCGTTTCCCAATCTTTTTCAGTTCTCGACCCATTTTTTCTGTGCGACCCACAGTGAGATATATCAGATAACAATGTTAATATATGGGAGAATAAACAAGGAATTCCCACACAATTTAGTATAGTATTATTGCAAAACTTGATCTTGCATATTGAATATTATCAGATCAAGTCTAATAACGATGCATAATTTTAGATGTGACATTGTTTTATAATTGTAACGAGATGATAATGCTACAACTTCCCGATCTAATCGAAAACTGTATATAACATTTGGAAATTTAGAGTTATTTAGAGCCTTTAATTAGGTATGTTACAAAAAAATTAAAGTTTATCCGATTTAAATAAAAACTGCACCAGTGGATAGATCTAAGTGAAAATAAGAAAACAATACCAAGTTTGCGAAAAATGGTCAAGAATTAACGGAGATATCTGCATTTAAGTACCGCCCGATAGGCCAATTTTTTCCATAAGGATTGTATTGCGCCGACTCAAAAACTGTGACCGCGAGAATGTCAGACCGATAAACAACAGAATGTATCTCGGCTATTTTTGGAGGTAATCGAAAAAAATTTTGAACGAAAAGTTATTGTGAATAGAAGAACCTAATGCAAAAAAGTTTACAAATTCTTTTTGACGATATTAGCTGCTTTTCAATTAATTATGTACGAGAAAGTTTCTGAACTTTACATAACCTCTGGTCGGCAACGACCTTCCCAATACGCAAGTCCCCGCATACGCGGCAATTAACTGATTTAGCGTTTTTCATATCCGACCTTAATGAACGATTAATTATCATTTAATATTCCTTAACTCGTAGGAGATTTACCGCGCTTAGTGAAACGCAAAACGAGAGAAATCGCTGCGAGGGAAAATGTCGGCATTCAGTCGATAACTGATGCGCGTTGACAGACGCGTGCTAAGATCATACTTCTCGTGCCTTGAATTAATTTGTACCGTTTCGTAAACGTATGCGAATTGACTTTTTTCAATAGGAATTTTAATAAATATGAAAAAAAAAAACACATATCAATCTTTAATTTTTCGATGTGCGTCACATCTAAGAAAATTCAGATTACTTTAGGATTTTATTCTGGCAACGATCATTGAGGCCGTCGGAAGATCGTCGCAAATCAACCCTGGAGTTCAGCATATTAGTTTGACAGTGCCTCGTTGCGGGTAATAATTAACGATGTTCTGATTGAACAAACTTCATAAAAATTGGTAAGTATCAAGTTAGGAATGACATACATGCGTCCATATATATTTTATTGGTGTCCATAGACAATATCATTAATTTGCAGTACGTATAACTTTAGCGTAATTTTTAAAAGCCCCGAATGTTGGGAAATTTATGCGCTAATGAAAAAATTCGAATACCAAATCATAGTTGCGCATTTTATCTAAGTTATGTCCAAATTTCATGGAATTCCAAACAATAGCAAGCAGTCCGTAGTCGTTTTTATGAGCGGTATTCTGACACAGCGTTACGGTACTTAGCAGATGTGGTGCGTACATTTTTTGGCGCGAAAAAGCGCGTTTTGTAACATTCCTACTTTAATGGATGGGAGCCAATGACTCAAGTCTCCCAACACTGTCTAAAACTTCAAGGAAAGAGGATAGACATAATTGTGAATGCTGCCTACAGAGTCCGATTTTATGCCTCGTTTTGTTTGCTACCGCAAGTAATACACAATAATATTTAGTCTTGAAAATAATTTTCCTATGTGATTAATACTCGATTGAATTTATGTGCATGTTACAATTTAATCATAATCAACTCAGAAACCTGTCATGTAACATTTGAAAATCTATCTTGTTGCCATTGTAATTGTTAAGCCTCGTTTATAACAACAAGTGTTTGTCCCGTTTAAGTATGATGGGGTTTGTAGCTCAAGGTGACGAACAAAAAGGCAAAGTTTTATTCAAATCCTCACAACTGTAATACGCACCAATGATAAGTAGGTGTATGAAGCGTACAATTCCAGTCTGATCTGGCCATTGAGTCCAGTCTCACATTCTTTCGCCCACTCACTTGTCGCTTTGGTTTGCTGAAATGAAGATTAATGAGATAATTTATTTTGAACTTAATTGTGGTACAAAAATGACTAAAACACAAAGCAGACAGACATACAGATGTGGATATAACTTCAAATGAAGTTTAAAACAGGAGAAATGAAAGAATTACATGGACAATTCCACAATGCGTACGGTAACGTACAGTTCATACAGCTGAACAGCAATAGAAAGATAATTCCAACAAACCTGAGACATGTTGCTGTTCTTTTCGTTGACGAGCAGTAAAAATAATTCGTAATTGTTGTAAAATCTTCAAAAGTCGTTGATTTTCAAGCAATTAAAATCCCGTTCGTTCACTGACGACCCAGGGACCCGATCAATTTGTTGAAATCGACGAAATGTTGAAGCGAATTGCAAGCAAGGCTGTTATACAGAGGCCGTAAACAACAGGTGGTGTTCCCCTCCAATCTTATATATAAAGTCTTTTGAATATCTTTGTCAAAATCTGCGACTAACTATTTAAAGTGGCTTCTATAATATTTAAATTTGCAATATATTCTATTTTCAGTTTTAATTTTGTATTAGATGTTTTTTTAATAATATAATTTAATTTGCTGGGAACACTTCTATTTTCGAATCCCATGACTAGGCAAATGTCATGCTGTTACTTTTATTTCAAACCCTCCTACTTCATAGGATATTATTTCTTTTTAAAATGAAAAGTCGTAATGAATCCACCTCTAAAAACCTGGCATAAGCAAGTAATAACTCAATTTTGCTTAAACATGCCAGTTTGTTAAATTTCTCTTCGAATTAGCTAAAATAATCAGAAAATGTTCAATAATTCTTGTGGAGTGAAGGACATATTGCCAGCAGCCTATCCGCCATGTTTGTGCGAAAGAAATTTTGTTGAGTCATTATCGCGTGATCTCGTCGTTTCTGTCTTAATGATCGGTCATCGATGAGATATGGTTGCAGATGACAATATTTATCAATGGCGGACAATCGGCCGTGTGAAAAGACAAATATTTTGACAACAATTTTCTATGTTACGTAACGCGTGATATTAATATGACACAGAATTCTATTATCACAATGCTGACAAGCCCGATTATAAATTATTATTTAACGCATTTTTACTTGTATTTTATGTCACACGGCCGAATTGTCCATTTAGTGCTTTTATTAAAGTCTAATTGAGGGTTTGTCAGCTTTCCTGAATTTTCACCCTGCGTGTGTGTTCTCTGTTTGTCATGTTTTTACACTATGACAGAGTTCAAAATAAATCATTTAGTAATTTCCTCTCGTCACTTTGCAAGTCTTTTTTGTCGGTTGTTGGTCTCCCAACATTAACTAGCGCAATGGTTGTGATTCCCAAGCCAGCCTTTTATGGCTCGTGGAAGCTTTTAGCACACATAGCCTTTCTGTTTATCATCCCAGTGTTATTAAGAGTGTTATTATGATTAGTAAATTTCAAATCCCATTATGTTCAAACAATCCATTCTCAACAAATTGAAAATACCCTGTGCAAAAATAACCCTATTAACCAATGCAACCAGGAAGAACGGGTAGTTCTCATGTATTGTGAAACGTAAAATCAGTTCTCCGCCTAGCATTGTGCCCCCACTCCAACTTCTCTGTAGCCAGTAGTGGGATTCAGCCGGTTCGCACCGGTTCTATAGAACCGTCTCACGGATTTCTATGAGATCAGCGAACCGGTTGGCATTACTTAAAAAAGCATGACTTTTTATGACAGAACCAGCTGAAAAATAAGACATTTGTGTGATGGAACCGGTTGACAAAAAATTTGAATCCCACCACTGCAATGTTCCCTCTAATTTTTTGTAGTATGTGTGCGCAGAAATTTTGGTGTGTGCGCACTTTTTTGGAAATGACTAATATTTGTGCAAAAACCAATGAAGAAATTTTGGCGTTCTGACCGGGTAATAAGTGGGCCAACAACAAACTTTCTCAACCTGCCAACCGAGCACATTGTTACATTACATCGAAATACGTCTGTGCGCAGTAAATCTATGCATGTGCGCAGCCTCTGAAAGCTGTGTGCGCGCGCACACGCGCACACCTTAGAGGGAACACTGCACCACTGTCTGTAGCCCCCTTGATGTTACACAGGACCCCGTTTGGGAACCGCTGAACTAGCGCAAAACTGGTTGTATACAATACTCCAAACTCTGTTACGATTGAGGGTTTATACTCGCCAACCGAGACGTCGTTATGAGTGTCGCTGTTTGAAAAACTTTCAAGGTCCCCCGCCGCCGCTCATGACACAAGTTAACTTGAAATTCTGTTAACTTGAAATTCTGTTTCTATATTTTTTATGATGTGAAAACTGCATTGAAATAATAAATTATATCGAAAAAATGCCAACGGATAAGATATTAATTGCAATAAATCAAGCTCTGATAGAAACGGTTATTTTAGCAACAAAACCTTGATGTTTAGTTGAAAGAATAGGATTTTTATATTTATTCCGAGAGAAAAAAGTGTCAATGATACTTTAATGATGTGGTAAACTATTGCCTTTCTCTTTCGTTACCAGGCCTGGCACTGGGATAGTTGAGTTGTTAATCGTGTAAAACGCACGAACCTCGATCGCCAAATAAGAGAAGCCCTACCTATTTTTTTTAAATATCGCTAGATTCAAGGGATCTTTTGCAGAAAGCTCCCGCCACCAATGCTAAACTGTGAGATTTGAGGAAAACATCCCACCACGTTTCAAGCACAACAGATTGCGCTCACCAAGTTAGCGGTGTTATTTTTTGCAGGGGCTTTCTACAAAAGATCAGATTCAAGTACCGACGACTATAAAAGATGACCCATCCAAACAAATAAAACCTGATACACTATTGTAGGCATAATAAACGCTAAGTCATGGCCGGATTGACGCGTATTCGGTTATTGCAAAAATTATAAAACGCTTAGTCATGCTATTCAGCTGTTTTTGCCTACGTGTCATATGACGCATACCAACAAACTCGCGCCAGACGATTGCCATTTGCATTTGCAACCGTGCAAAAGAGCCTAATCATGATATGCGCTAGATATGATTAGGTGGTTGGGGGTTAATGTACTCGTTATGCTTTCGGGGTCAATTTTGCAAGCAACAAATTTACACTACTCTTTTCTTCACAATATGAATATGCTACCTTTCTTTCATTACACTAGTGGTATTCAACCTTTTACGTTAAATTCTATTCTTTATCCATTTTTAATTATGCCCTTACCACACATAAAGAACAAATAAAACTACTCTATTTGTCCAATCTTCAATGAATCCATAGCTAGTGTTAAGGGGCGCTTACACTGGATGCGACGCGAAATGCGCCTGAGATCGCTTCCCATTGTTTCGAATGACGTCGTTTACAGTTTACAAAGAAAGCGTCGCTCTTAGCGGTGGCGCGCGACGTCGTTCCAGTTTCTCCTGCCGAGCGATTTTCGACGCGCACCGCGACGGCTCTTCTGGTCGAGCGAGACATTATTTCACATTCGTTACTTATCGATTTTAATCGGTAATTATGTTGATAGGTATTTGTCTGTCTTTGTTGATAGGTTTGTTTGCCTGTTAGATGCACGCGATATCTCACGAAAGCGAGATTGAATCTGCTCCAGATTTTGCATGTGCATTCATCATATATCGTACCAGAAGCCTATTTATTTTGGATGAATTATGTAGTATAATTAGCGAGTTATTAATTAATTAGTGATGGGACACAAGGTGTCACTATGGAGTAAGAGCGCTTATCTGGGGGATCCCCTAACTTTTGATCGATAGGTCTCCGGTCTCTGACCGATATTCTCGCTTAATATTTTTGTGAACTATGGCTGGCGAAGTTATAATATTATTGGTTTAATTCCAAGGATATTATTTATTTTTGATGCATATTTATACTTGAATTCTTCCCTGACTGTTTAATTTTATTATACTCTATGACTAGTTTTCTTTCCTGTGGGAGTTGAATTTAAAGTGGATTTAGTCAAGTTGAACAAAATTGCAATGGTATTCAGTTAGCAATCAGTGGCGTAGCCGGAGGGGTGGTTTTGTGGGTCAACCCCTCCCCCCTTTTTTTTAAATAAAAAAAAATAAAATCATTTTTCTGTATCATAGATAGCAATTTTCCGTAACTTGAAATGCTTTTTAGACCCCAAGACTAATAAAAACACGCGTATTCCAGCTTTCGATCGGACCCGATAGCTGTTTCGATCTAACTTGACAAATAAAAATTTCAGAACCCCCCCTTTGAAAATTTCTGGATACGCCCCTGTTAGCAATGGAATTTCTATTTGGCATACCCAGGGTGATGAATTGTATTCAATTATCCACAATTTCCAAAAATGGACAACTGCGGGGCTCCCGAAGTATGCGAACCAAGATGGCGGACATCGTAATGTAATATGTGTACTAGATTAGGGTTAGGCCATACTTTTAGGAATAAATACTACGGGAGGCTCTTGGCTAGTCTTCGAACTGATAATAGGACTAAAATATGGAAAATTGGAAAAAAATTATCGCCTAACCCTAACCTGTTACCCATGTCCGCCATCTTGGTTCGCATACTTCGGGAGCACCCAACTGCTTATGTCCAAGCACAAATGTATTGAATTATAGTTAGGGCTGGGCATTTTTGAATACCTGATGATTTCAGAATCGAATCGAATATTTTTTTCGAATCGAATCTCGATTACTTGGGAGATATATATTTTATGTAACTTTCTTTCTGTATTTGGTCCTCCAGACATATAAATTACTGGAAACGTAATATACATCCCTCAAACAGATTGATGAGCGTTTACACCCAATAAAAAACACGTTTTCATCAATAACTCACTACAGAAAAAGAGTCATATGTCACAATTGCGTTGAAAAAGTATGGCTTCAATAAAAAAAGTTGAGAAATTTAACTCGACAATTGGCGGAAAGATAAAAAACAAGATGGCGGCAATTCGAAATTTCGCTCTGAACCGATTCGAATAATTTACTATTCGATTCGAAATGCCCAGCCCTAAAAATAATAAACTATAGTTGAAATTAGTTCACTGCGAAGTAATGCATACTTGGTTGATTTTATTTAAAAATCAGAATATGGCAATTGGGTTACTCCTGATGGTCAGACATTGCAGAATGAAATTAATCAAACTAATTTGTCGATATTCAACACGATGAATTGTAATATTGATGATGATTTATAATAATTATCTTTCTACACATGTCCTTGCATAGTCTGAAGGAATCTTTTTTATTCAATTTCGTCCTTTTTGTAATTTAGTTCTGTAATGTTCTGTAATTTAGTTTTGTAATGTTCAAACTAGCTTTCTATTTTAAACTTAAGTTTGAACTTTAATGTTCTTCAATGGTTGATTGTATATATGACTTTCATTTTCCCTGCTTGTTATTGTATGACTGTGTGACT